CTCTCTCTCTCTCTCTCTCTCTCTCTCTCTTTCTCTCTCTCTCACTCCTTTTTTCCCCGCTCCAGCTCCCCCCTCTCTCTCTTTCTATCTCTCCCCCCTCCTCTCTCTCTCTTGCCTCACCGTGTGTCTCTTGTATCTACCTCTCCCCCTCAAAGGCCTATTGGTCACTAAATGCAAGCCTTAATCAAATACATTGTACATCTCACCATATAAAAAACCCACCCAAAACGACACTGCCTGACTGACCTTTGAGAACACGTCTTTCCTTTCTTAGTGCTTACGCTGGCCTCAAATGATTTCTTGACGTTTGAAGTCTTTCCATCAATGTTGCTCTCTACTTCCCCACTTTTCATCAATGACGCAGACCTATCAAGTAAATGTAACATAAATGTGAACATAGTATTATCAGGTAGTTTTTGACTTGTGTTAGTTTGGAAAAAATCGACAAACAGTATTGTAATGATGTAAGGGCAGTATTCATACTTTTAGTAGCTCTACGCCCCTTATTGATTATACGACCTTTAATTCAAAATTGTCTTTTTTTTAGACGGGATGAAATAGATAAATAGTTTATATGTCTGGCATCACTGTCGTTGCCTCTGAAGAGTTCTAATCACTAAATCAACCAACAATTACAACTTGGAATCATAGCCTATAAATAAATATATAGGGATCCTTCAAAGAATTGGTTGTGACTGCAAAGAAACATTAAAATGCAAAACGAAAAAGAATATTAACGTTATAAAGTAAAATCCCAGTCTGGAACCCAGTTGAATAATAACTGCTCCTCCTTGCTTCAAAGCACCCTGAATGGAAGTTCTGAACAGTTCGTTTTTGCCAATGTCTACTCACTTTGTTGTTGTAGCTGCGATCTTGAGGCTGGTGTGGCGAGAGAGTGTCATGCTGTGCTGGAAAGACGTCGTGAAGGAATCTCTCCTGATCGAAAAGAACAAAAGATAAAGAAAAAGGGTTTAACCGATCGCAAATCTTTTCTGTGTGGAAATTGTACATAAGACCCATGAGTCTGTTCCGTCGTAGATTGGTGAAATCTTAGCAGTGTGATTTTTATTTACCGTTACCTACCTAATCAGATAAGAAGAAAAATAATGTTTAACAAATCGTTCATCTTTTTATTTTGGAATTGTACATATATCAATTATAATTATGACCCATGAGTCAATTCCACCGCAGCTTGAACCTTTGTACATGTTGGTGTAGCAGTGTGGCTTAACTTACCGTTACCTATCCAATCCTCTTTCATAGAAGGAATAGAGATTTGAGATTAACGAGGAAGGAATGAAAGAAGCCCACGTGAGTCTCTCACTGATAAGAACAGTACACGAGGAAGCGAAAAATCAATGCATTTTCTAGGACACTTGAATCAACACAAAGGTTTTGAACATTTTGTTTTGACGGGAAAAACAAAAGGCAAACCAAGCAAGGGTAGACCAAGAAAAACTTTAAGAAAATCTGAATATGTGAGTGGCGGGAGTACACCAGGATTATACAGGTTTTTAGAGAGCAACCAAACGGATGAATGAATGAAGAACTATAATCGCCGATGTCTGTTTCAGATCTTGCACTTTATGGTGATGATGACACGATATAATAATATACGATATAACCTCAGAGACAGATAATTATGGAAAGAGAGAGAGAGAGAGAGAGAGAGAGAGAGAGAGAGAGAGAGAGAGAGAGA